CCATAAACTGCTGTTCATCAGCCTGATCGTGGCCATGGCTCTGTCTCATGCTCGCTTATCCCTCATCCGCCGAGGTCTTCTCATTTAATCTACGAGATGTCCCGTAACGGTCCTCGCCACGCTGCTTGTCTAGTATCCATCTGTCTTCTAGTCTCTAGCACCTTGGGTCCTGGCGTCCAAACCCCAGTCACTTGGCTCCCCCTTCCCCCCCTTTCTCCACAAGATCCAAAATTAAGCAGTCGGGAAGGGGGAATGTTTTTGTACAAGTCTCCGGATATTGGTCAGAATTTATCTCCGTCAGGTGGAAAGATCCGCGGTGCTTGAATCTGGTTGCTTTGTATTTTTCTACATGTGATGGAACCTCGCCCCTCCTTGGGCATAGATATAGCACTTGACGGGTCCCTAGGAACTGGGCGGTCCGTCGCCTGGATTCTGGACTTTCACCATCCGTCGTTAGTACTTTTTTCGCCTTCCCCTTCGGTGGACGAACTAAAATAGGTAGATTCTCTCTTTCAAGCAATTTTTTTTTAACCCCGTCGTTTTTCTGTGTCTCTATTATCTCCAATAAATTTCAACGGCCTTGGTTTGTTCTTGATGCATGACTCGGTATATCATTGACTATACCGTTGTTCTAGTTTTTGAACTGACGCTAATCATCTGAACAGGGTGTGCACTGTTAAACGACTGACTCTTCGACCACTTCTATACACTGACGCGCCGGGGATAGACCGTTTGTGTCACACCATCCTGGTCATACATCAGAAACGTCGGACAGGCTACAGAAAGCACAATAGCGATCCGAAATGGCCGGCGGTAAGCCAGAAGTCTCCGAGGTTGGGTTTGTGGAAACCTCGTCTCCCAAACCGAGCTTTGGGAGACGTGTGCTCAACCACTACAAGCGGTGGTGGTGGGTTCATATCATCGTAATCATTGTGGTCGTCCTGGTGGTGACACTTCCCTTGTATGTTCTCTTCTGCGTGATACATGAGAAGAAAAAGGCTCGGAGCTGACAAGACAATAGGGTGTATGTTGGCTATCCAAACATCGCACAAGGCGACATCAATGATTCCACATTGGAGATCAAGGAGATGATCATCTCCGATCCCACACCGGATTCGCTCTTCTTGGACCAGACACAGGTCCTCGGCTCGCACAGCATGTTCCATCCTACAATCTATGCCTTCGATGCTACTGTCGGCTTGCTGGGCGCTGCATCGTTCGCAACCGTAAGGGTTCCTCAGGTGAAAGCCAATGACGGCACTGTGGTCCATATCAGCCAGTCCCTGGACCTGAGTGATGTGGGTGCCTTTGGAGGATTTGCTACGGCGGTCATGCAGAATGAGGAGATCAAATTAACCATCTATGGCAAGCCCGACCTGAAGCAGGGTGGCCTGCCTAAAATCGGTGTGACGTACAACAAGACTGTTACCATGAAGGGTGAGTGATCAGGGCTCGGTCACACCCATAGGGTCGGATAAAGCTGACTATGCAAACTCTAGCTCTCAACAAGCTCGAAGGTTTCGCCATTACGGAAATGCATGCCTTGTCCGGTAAATCGTCGAATGGCGCCAATTTTGGTGGAACCGTGTACATCCCCAACCCATCTCCGATGACGATCAGCATGGTATGTTGCTTTCTTTACTTCAATGTAGCGTCGACTGATTGACCTAGGGTAATGTCACTCTCGACCTCTCTTGCGAAGGAACCTCCATTGGTACCTCGTACTTGAACGACCTGAAGCTGGTTCCCGGCAACAACACCCTGCCCATGACATCCGCCGTCAAACTGTCGGCAATCGCACCATTCTTCGAGAAGTACCCCAAGGGTCTTCCTGTGTCGATTTCAGGAAGCTCGACCAACTCGAGCGTCTACAACGGCCAAGCCATCCCGTACTTTAGCGAGGCCCTGGCGTCCAATACACTTAATGTGACCTTGGACCTTGCTAAGTTGCTGAGCTAATCGACCTGGTGACGTTGTTGAGAGATATCCTTACCGGTGGATATATAAACCACTGGACTTTTCTTTTCACTTCTTGCCTTACGGGGCTACATGTACAATCCAATGTTGATACATATATGCTAATGTTATGACGATTGGATGGATTTAGTCCATTTACTGTTTGCACATCTTCTTTTTTGACTCATTATGTTGACCATGCGGTAGTGATCGCCGACGGCGACGGACTCAAATACATATGATACCTTATCTTCTCGTGCTGTTCCGTGACCTATCATCGCTTTGAAGGTTGACTCCGACGGGAGTTCTGTAGCCAGTTTTGAACCAATCAAGTGAACTGTAAGTGCAAAGGAGAATAGGGTTTTTTGAAAACGACCTCGCAATCTGGATGACGGTATTAAAAAGTGCCAATCCGCTGGTGATCTCCAAAGAGAAATGGTTTCGTGGAAATGCATTTGGTTGCGGATGATAAGTGTGGTGCTGAGGTGGTAAGGTGTCTACTGGCAACTTGATTCATCATCGCTGGGAATAATTCAACCACAGGCAGGGCCTTCTTCTACCCTAAATAGATCAGGAGACAGACCATCCATCGGCATCATTCGGGCACTTTCCGTTGAGAGATCCGAGAGATCAACCATGCGCCGATCTTATCAGTAATGCCAATGAAATGAATTCTCCGATGTTTCTCCAATCTCCAACACTTATCGCTGATGGATAACGACTCCCTCTTGGCAAGCAGCCAATTATTAACAGATTGGAGCGCTGTTACAGTGTCCTGGTTCCTGCATTGAGTTAAGTTCCAGGATTCCTCTTGCAGATAAATGCCTCATGCCAAGCAGAATTTGGAGTCGATTCCACATGGTCCTCGAAACGACTCCAATTGATATCGATTCCCATTACGAGATCACACCGCTACCGTGACGATACCTCCTTATCAGGGTAATCGCGAGACTTGGATAGTGTGTCAGTTCCTGGGTTGTCGTGCGGTCGACGGCTAAATGTTGACGAGAGTAACTATTTAAGGATGGATGTCCTACGATGCTTTGCTGCTACGGTTGCCTGGCGTGTACAGCACTTCAATACCTCGAAGCAGAGCAAAGATGACCAAACTGAGCTTCAAAACTATCACACTCGCGGCTCTGGTAGCCGTTGGGAATGCCTCTCCGTTTGTCTACCCCCGAGCAACCGGCTCAAACAGTACATACGTCTTCACCAACTCGCATGGCTTGAACTTCACCCAGATGAACTCGACGCTCCCTAATGTCACCATCCTCGCAACCGGCGGCACCATCGCCGGCTCCAGCGACGACAACACTGCCACAACAGGCTACACGGCCGGCGCGATCGGCATCCAACAGCTCATGGATGCCGTTCCCGAGATGCTGGACGTTGCCAACGTCGCCGGCACCCAAGTCGCCAACGTCGGCAGCCCCGACGTGACGTCTTCCCTTCTGCTCCGCATGGCCAAGACCCTCAAGGAGGTCGTCTGCGATGACCCAACCATGAGCGGCGCCGTCATCACCCACGGCACCGACACCCTCGAGGAGACGGCCTTCTTCCTCGACGCCACAGTCAACTGCGGCAAGCCCATTGTCGTGGTCGGCGCCATGCGGCCCGCAACCGCCATCTCCGCCGACGGCCCGTTCAACCTCCTCCAGGCCGTGACCGTCGCCGCGCACCCCACCGCACGCAACCGCGGCGCGCTGGTCGTCCTGAACGACCGCATCGTCTCCGCCTTCTATGCCTCCAAGACAAACGCCAACACCATGGACACCTTCAAGGCCGTCGAGATGGGCAACCTCGGCGCCATCGTCTCCAACCAGCCGTACTTCTTCTACCCGCCCGTCATGCCCACCGGTAAGACGACCTTCGACGTGCGCAAGCTCGCCTCCATCCCCAGAGTCGATATCCTCTACTCGTACCAGGATATGCAAAACGATACGCTCTACGACGCCGTCGACAACGGCGCAAAGGGCATCGTCGTAAGTCCTTTCCCCATCCCCGCACTGAAACCAAATACTAACAGCGATGGTATCCAGATCGCCGGCTCCGGCGCAGGAAGCGTCTCAAGCGACTTCAGCGACGCTATCGACGACATCGCCTCCACCCACTCCCTCCCTATCGTCCTGAGCTCCCGCACCGGCAACGGCGAAGTCGCCATCACGGACAGCACGACCACAATCGAGAGCGGCTTCCTGAACCCGCAGAAAGCGCGCATCCTGCTCGGTCTGCTGCTTGCCGAGAACAAGGGGTCCAAGGAGATCAAGGAGGCGTTTGCGAAGACTGGGGTTGCTTGATCGTGTCCTTCTTTTTTTCGAGTCGCATTTGTGGTTTTCATAGACTTCATAGACAAGGTTTTGATGGCTACGGCTATGGCTATAGAGATAAGTTGTTATAGACTCGTCGATTCAATAAAACGCTAGATGATCACGTCAGTTAGCCGCGTTATTGACAAAAACTGAGTCATCCAATCAGACTTGGAATGAGTGTTTCCTCCAATATATTATGAAGTTGAGGTGGTGTAGCTCATCACGCCATAGCTGTGCAGATATCCTCATTGTACGCTGCACACCGTACGTCGACGGACTACATCTGCCACTCGGGCCCTGTTGGTCATAGGTCATACCTTCGGAGTCCTATGGTACTTCGTACTGCGCTAGTGATCAGGATTAGGATCCCGATCAGATCTATCTGCTGCTGCTGAAGATAAAACTCCGACGAGGCGAATAGGATCGAGGGGCGTAATCGTGTGGACGATCGACGCACGGCTGAAGTCTGACCGTCTACTTTTGTTATCGGCTAATTGCCCACCTATTGACAGGGATTGTTGACGGTATAAGTAGGAAAGGATATCAACTTAATGATTTCACAACGGAATGAACCTCAAAACTCGCAAAAACTCGCAAAAACTCGCAAAAACTCGCTACTCAAAGATATAAAACAGACGATGCCTCCCGTTTTCCCATTCCGCCATTTTTCGATTCCTCGCTGATGTTGCACAAACAAACGTCCAAACCGCCGTTGACTGAGTTGGATATCCCAGATCACATATCATGCAAGGTCTTATACCCTGTCTCGATCAGGCTACGGGGTCCTCTTGCATCCCCTCCGATGTGCCAATAAAATAGGCCTCCCAGTTTCGCCTTGGTCGCAAATTTGGCCTTCTGTTGCACCGTCTCCGGGGTGTCGTATGTGACAAAACCGCCATCGCCGCCAACGCACCAGGCAGCGCCCGACTTTTCATCGTAATACTCTTTCGCGCCGGGCCGTGGTAGGTCGCAGTAGTCGAAGACACCATCCTCCCCTCCACAACCACTGTAACGCTGACCGATGTGATTACTGCCTAGGAAAGAGCGACCGTACGCCGGGATCCCGAGTAGAACCTTCTTGGGGTTGACGCCTTGCGCGGTTACGTACGCGATGGCCGACTGACACGAGATGGCCCCTGTTGGTTCTCGAGATGGGCTATACAGCTGTGACTGGTGTCCTGTTTCGTTGGTCCACGGTCCGGAGAAATCATAGGCCATAATGTTGATCAGGTCGACATAGTTCTGCGCCTTGCACAGATCTATATTTCGCAGGGCCCATTCACCAGCTGGAAGGCATGTGGCTAGTACATAGCGCGGTGAGGGTAGTACGTCACGCAACCGGGCAAGAAGACGGACATAGTCTGAACCCTCGGCGGGGCTTGAAGGGTGCTCCCAATCGACTGCAGACTGTCAGCATCATCCTGAACGGCTTGGACGTACGGTGCTACACACTGTCAATCCCATCGAGTCCGAACTCATCTACGAGCCCCTTCGCGGTCCGTACAAAAGTCTCCAGACGGGTTTGACTCCGAGCTACAGCGGCAAAATTCTCGCTTCCCTTGCCTCCTCCTCCGACTGAGAGGATGACCTTCATCTTCGAATATTGTGCTTTGAGTTGGGTGAATGCACGGAGGCAGCCATTGGTGCCGTCGACAGGCATCTGAGAGTCGGCCCATTCATCGCTCAACTGCATAAACAATTCGTCAGCGGGGTAAGAATAAATGATGGAAAGAAGAGAGAAGCAATGAAGGACAGAAGAAGAAATATCAAGTCCGGTTTGGGGATTCACATAAACTGTGCCGTCTTCTTTGACCCTAAATGAAAGAAAGACATAATGGTTAACATTTGTATCTACCTAGACCAGGCGATTAATCGCTTCGGCTGTGTGTATGACTAGTACCAAGCAAATGCATAGAAGATGTGAGAGATGAATCCCAATCTCAAGGACGAGGGAGGCTGTTTCCGATAGATCCTCCAATTCGCATAGTAGGCTGCGTTCATGAAGAACGGGACTTCATACGAGCTGCTGAAATTGTTGGACCGCTGTGCCGCCTTACGACGCCAGTGGGGGAAGATGGATCCGGAGAACATAATGCGATGAAGCTCGGCAGGATTGCCGCCGGATCTGTAGGTATTCTCACAGATCGACGAAGAAGCTGAAATGGATTACGGGAATAGAGAAAATCATTCGAAGTGAGGTTGAATATATGCAACTGAGGGAGTAAGAAGCAGCTGCCAAAACTGTTGACAGTATCACGTGTGGAAGGTCCTTTTTGGGTCTGACCTGTTTCTTTTTTGGGGTTACATAACTCCATCAGAGTCATGTTACTTCTACACTACAATTACGTTGACAAAAAGTGCTAATGGACGACAGGAACGGAGAAACCCCTCGATGCAGCGGCAGAAAAGGCAACCAATGGCCAACGCTCGTCCATGGCCGTAAAAGCCCTCAAGCATCCGAAATCGCTTGCTTGTTCCGTCGAGGTTCGTTCGAGCTACTGCGAAGCATGACACTCGACACGTACAGACATCCATGCTGCGGAGTATAGGTAGCCGGCAATATGGCGGCCCTCGCCTCCACACTTCGCCGATTCAATCTCCTTAGGTCGCAAACATTGATTTCACAGGAGACTCGATACATGCGTCAATGCGGCGAGAGCTTGCAGAAAAGGGTTAGAATACTTGAGTTGATCCATCGAATCAGCATACTCAGGCAACAGGGAAATTCTCATCGTGACCTGGTCCAGTAGGGTCCAAACGCCCCGGATGATCATGTCTAGCCCCGCCTTTTTAGACTCAGGTCCGATGGCTCCCTGAGAGATCAAAGCTTAGTGGAGGGAATAACCATTGGGTATCCTGAAAGCTTCGTCAATTTCTGCTGGATTCAGCTCCGTAGAGCTGGGATGACTCGTTTTGCCTTCTCCCGGTGAGAATCTGACCACAGATTTTGCATTAATATATTCTACTGGTGGCAATATCCATTGTCTAGAGCACGAGACCTAGCTGGCCTCATTTTTAGACCCTCGGGAATCATTCCGCTCTCAGTACTGTTAATCTGAGCTGGGTAGGGGAAGCCTGTACATCATGCTCATGTAGGTCCGCAATATCCTCACAGTCGCGCCTCTATGACTTTTGGCCATATTTCGAGAAACTGAGCCCGTGACTTGGGGAAAGGTCACCGAGAATCACACCATGTGAAAGATGTTAATTCGTTCGGCTTGTCCTTGGCTCCCACAAGCCGCGTCGTATTTGCTTTTTGCTCCTTCTGGCTGCTTGGGGACGACACAAGCCTCAAACTAGTGATCTGGTTCCTGGGTGACTGACAAGCCATTAGCACAATCATAAGCCATCCTTGTTGTTGAATATAAACAGATCTCGGAGCCCAGTGACCGAACTTGTTGATAGAAAGGCCATGCATGATATTCTCAAGGTGCATGCAAGGAAGAAGAGATGGTGGAGCAAATTTGATCGTGTGTTCTGTGGGGGCCACTCCGTTGTCCTTCGTACTTATGTTAGGCTCGTGAGCAGGTCGCCAGGCGACACCGTACTCATACGGGGCCAGAGTCTAAAAAATCAACCACAATTCAGCTTCGACATTTCCATCCGTCTCCACAGTGAAGAGAAGAACCGAAGCTATTGAATGAACTTGGAGCTAGATACGGAACAAAGGATGTACAGTCTCCTAAGCGACTCTGGTTGAGACGCGAGAAGGTTCTTCTCATGAGACCTACCAATGAATAGCAGTGGCCGAGATAGAACCATATGGTATTTGGCCGGAGTAGCACAGACCTTTTGGCGGATGACTGCCCCTTGTACCCTATATATGCCCTATGTATGTGCCTTTAGCTACCCATAATGATTTCGCATTTGAAAATCGCCAAAATCGACCCTATGCAGGGGGTATTGTCTCCCGGGGGACAATGTGGGCTATTCATTGGCTCCCTACTCCTCAGAACGGGGTAGAGGTCAATGGTGTCTTTGTTTCACAGCGGAGACCTCGAGACTATCCCAGACAAAGTTTTATTGTTGATGCATCGGCATAGCAAAAACAGATAGACTACTATTATTATTGGGCTTGGGTTTCAATCAGCTCATGCCGTCGCAGATGCCAAATACCCGAGTCTGCCGAGTCTGCCCCGAAGTTAGTAATACTGTTTGCCACCGCCTACCATATAAAGCTAGTGTATTCTTTTGCCTCAGGCATTAAAGTTGGCAGTGATATGATTATCCTTTGGCTACCTTCGTTATTCCACTTCTACAACTATTGAATTCTACCAACTCTTCTCACTCTGGTCAAATCGACTGGCATCACAGGACTTAAAGTCAGGCTGACTACCAAGATTGGGCAGTCATATAGGCGCGGGATTTTGTTGAACGCATACCGTGGCCAACGAGCCTGGTGAAACCCGCCGATCACTCATTCAAATTTAATCTCGCGAGCTATAATCCACCATGACAGCAGACGTCAAATCTGCTGCGGCACGGATTTTATCCACCGATAGCTCTCGAGATCCGAGCTACAATAACTTCTCCTTCACTCCCTTCCTCCGCACAAGCTTCGGTTTTGGACTCGCGAGCGATGTACCCGTCTGCAAAGCCTACAGTGAAGGACATTGCCCCTTAGGCCCTGCCTGCCCAGATCGCCATCCCACACCCTCGCGGGTAACGACATCAACAACAACAGCGTCCGGGCTGGCGCCTTCTACAACACATGGCTCCCTAGTCTGCAAACACTTCCTCAAGGGGCTCTGCAAGAAAGGTCTCAAATGCGAATATCTTCATGAATACAACCTCCGCCGCATGCCGGAATGCCAGTCCTTCTCGCGATCTGGCTACTGTCCCAACGGCGATGATTGTCTATACCAGCACGTGCGGGAACAAGCGCGATTGCCGCCCTGCGAGAACTACGATCAGGGCTTCTGCGAGCTGGGCCCCTTGTGCGCCAAGCGACATGTTCGGCGACGGCTTTGCAAATACTACCTGGCGGGATTCTGCCCGGAGGGTAAAGCGTGCTCCGATGCTCATCCGCGCTGGTCGGAGAATCTCCCCAAACCTACCATGAGAGTTGAAAAGACCGAGGAGGAATTGGAACGGGAAAGGGCTCTCATCCGAGAGGAGCAGGAGAGAGAGAAGGAAAGGGAACGAGAGTGGAGGAGCGAGCGTGGCCGTGGAGGTGGCTTCATGCGCGGGCGATATCGAGGACGTGGACGGGGGTAGAATCAGGCTGTCTGTATCCGGCATGGGAGTTTACCTTACGGCTCTTATATGGAACTTGGCTGGTTTCCCTTACTTTCAGAAGCTTTTGCAGGTCGTTAAGATACCCAATTTGAAGTTATAAAATGTGTTAATGACGTATATACTCATAGTGTCAATGCAGTAGAGTTTCTGAAGGATTGCAATGCGCTCTTCTGCCCTGATGTGGTAGGTTAATACCACCACAACCGTAGGAAAATACTACCGGTAGCTTTTGCGTTCGTTTCAGAACGGTTGACTTCTTCGAAGTAAGGATAGGGGAGATCAAAAGTTTAATGTATGACATCATGACTAGCTGGACGATGGTTAATTGCAACGTTCTCTCACGCCTTTCAGCTTATCATCAGCTCCCTAATCGGCATTCTTGATAAAGTCTTATTAAGGAATCATTCAGCAATGCGCTCGAGAAAGACCACTGCTCGAAGATTCCAAAGAATCGGGGCATTTGTAAGGTGTTTTCCTTAGGGATTCATCCCCGCAGCAAATCTTTGTCAGAAATGTGTAAGAATCATCTAACGGGGCACCATGTCTAGGGACAGTTCCTGATTTGCTTTTGGACTAAGCGGTGGGCCCTGGAATGATAAGACTGGATTGCTGATTGACAGCGGAGCCTGAGGGACGGGTCCTGGAATGGCGCAATCGACGAATCAGCGTGCCTTTCTTTTCAACGACGGGGACTCTGTAATCGATTACGGATGCAGCAGTGAAGGATCGCATAATCCAGAATCTCCCAAATTCTTAAGTGAGGGGCACTAGTACTGGAGGGTACCTTAAGAGGAGGTCGAGAGCTTCCTCCATTCGCATAGATATAAAGCCTCTGCAAAGGTCCTCTGTGATTTTTCAACAGACAAGTCTCTACTTCTACGAACCTGTACTATAGTATCCTGTTCGCTTCGGACACTTCCAATCAGTCACAATGGCTCCCAAGGTTGCTATCGTCTTTGTATGTGACCCTCCTTGACCTTTTGACACTTAGCGCTTGCTAATTGGTCAACTGCGTAGTACTCCATGTATGGCCATATCTTGAAGCTGGCCGAAGCCGAGAAGAAGGGTATTGAGTCGGCTGGTGGCCAGGTCGACATCTTCCAGTATGTCTTTGATCTTCGGGGTGTACTTTAATCGCACAGTGATTGACCAGTATCTGTTTTTAGGATCGCCGAGACCCTTTCCGATGACGTCCTCGCCAAAATGCACGCTCCTCCCAAGTCGTCTTACCCCGTCATCGAAGCCGACACTCTGAAGGACTACGACGCCGTCCTTTTCGGTATCCCCACTCGCTACGGTAACTTCCCCGCTCAGTGGAAGACCTTCTGGGACAGGACCGGTGGTATCTGGGCCTCTGGTGGCTATTGGGGCAAGTACGCCGGTCTCTTCGTTTCCACCGGTACCCTCGGTGGTGGCCAGGAGTCGACTGCCATTGCCGCCATGAGCACCCTCGCCCACCACGGCTTCATCTACGTCCCTCTCGGCTACAAGACCGTCTTCCCTCAGCTCGCCAACCTGGAGGAGATCCACGGCGGTAGCGCTTGGGGTGCTGGTACTTTTGCTGTAAGCTATCCTTTCCCTCGTTCGTCTCGATCAAGCGAGAGGTTTGTTACTGACCCCTGTCATTTAGGGTGCCGACGGCTCCCGCCAGCCCACTGAGCTGGAGCTCTCGATCGCCGAGGCCCAGGGCAAGGCTTTCTACGAGACCGTCGCCAAGGTCAACTTCGCGTGACTACATGGTGGCGAGGACGTGAAGCCTGCAGCGGCAGCACAGCAAGCCAAGACTGAGGCCACTCCCAAGCCTGCGCAGAGTGGACAGGACAATGTACAAGGCACACAAGGGGTGAAGAAAG